TGACAAAGGTTCATATATTTACTGGACATTTTACTTTTCTGCAGACTGTTTGTGGTTGACATTCTAGGTCCTTTCTCTATTGGATTGTTTATAATTTGCTTGCATGTTTGCTAGAAGCTCTTTGAAATATAATCCTTTGCTATGTGTATTGCAAACATTTTTTCCCCAGATTCTTTGTCTTTTTTTTTCCATACTAAAGTTTTGATTACTGTGGAAAAAATTCTATCAAGTTTTATTATTTTGTCTTTTTTTTCCTGCTATGATGTATACGCCCACTAAAATTTCTACCCTGGATATTTACAGATATTGTCTTCATTGGTAACCCCTGCAACTTTCCCGTCCGATAACATCTTTCAAAACCCACCTTTAGCTACTTTTCTCCCCAAACCTTTTTCTGCACACTGTCTATCTAGGCTCTGTTCTCTCAGTCACCCTAATTTTTCTGGGGGCATTTTGTTTATTGGCTTTGGTTTTTCTTTTTGTTTGCAGGCTTGATCTGATTTGTCAAAGACAAAAATGATATGGGAACATACTTTTGCTTTCTTCAAGCAATAAAATAGGCAGAAGCATGGACACTTGAACAGAAGCTTGAGAGGAATGACTGACGACTCTCCTTGTCCTTGACTGAGAGGAGAGATAGTGCTCCACCAGATGTGCTCACTGACTCCTCCCTTCAGTAACCGCTTTCCTGCTTTCTTGTCCACTACACATTCCAGAAGGCAAGTTAGAAAAGCACTATTAGCTTTTCTAGCTATCATTGTCCTATTGTCACCATAGCGACAGATGTTATGTGAAATCAACTGCTTTATTGTGAAAACAATGTAGGTTGAAAGTGGCCTTGGGGAAGTCACAAAGAACATGAGATTGAATTCTGATATACTCCCCTGTGGGGTTTCTTTTCTATATTAGTTTTTCTTTTAAATATATGTTATTGCAAGACAATAAAATAAAAAGTCAAAAGGTCACCTTTTGAAATATTTCAATGATTACTTGATTTAATAGTATGAGAACAGGTCTTGGTGGGAGACTTGAAAGCGAAATCACATATATACAAACCAGAGACCTTCAAAGCAGCAAAAGAAACCATGGCAGTGAGTGGGTTGTATGCTGAACATTGGCTGTGGTCGTTGCTGTCTCCTGAACACTAAATTCTGCCTGGACCAAAATTAGAACTAAAAACACATACATTTGGGATATGATACCATCCAATTAACTAATTAGAGACCTAATTCATTGCAAATGAGGCCTTTCAAATTCCAAATGGTAAATCAAACTAAATAATGGCATAGTCAACATTTTAATCCCATTGAAAATATATAGCTATCAAGGATGAAATAATACAATGGGGACAACAAGAAAGGAGCAAGAAATTCTTGTTATTATTGCAAGCTTAGGCCAATAGTGAATTGAGGAGACATGTTATCTAGAGAACAGGACTCTACAAATGACTGGGATGTGTCATTTATTGAATAAGTCATCAACATTATAGGGACTTTGAACAAGATTTGATTTAAAAAAATTCCTGATCCTTTGTAAGAAATTAACCAGGAAGGACTTAGGCATAACACAAAAAAGGTTTATACTATCTGAAAACCCTAGGAGTCAGAATAATGACATGGTAGGTACAGACAAGTGTATTTTCAGTTGCTAATCTGTTGTGACAATCACAAATGAGAATTATGGAATAAAGCAAAGAAAATTTATGAAGTTGAAAAATTGATGGCTATTTCTTTATATTCATCCATCCAATTTTAGATCAAAATTTTAGACCAAAATATTAATTTGGTCTAATTTATAGCCATTTATTTATAAAAAATGATGGACACCATGTCATCAAAGTGGCAATTCATATAGATTAAATTTTAAATCTGGAAATCAAGAAAATTTGAAGACCAAAGAATCTAATGAATTTTAAGGAAAGTAACTACATTTATGTATTTATTATTTTAAATTTAGCCAAGAAGAATTTCTGAAAATGTAAGGCACTGCTATCAGAAACCTACCTTCACTCCCTAACTCTGCTCCTTACTTGTTATGTAATTCTAATAAATTTATAGCCTCTAAACTTCAGTTTCCCTATCTGGAATTCCATCTCACAATGTTTTGTGTGGATTCAATGAGAAAATGCACACAAAGAGCTAATTTCAAATTTTGTAATATTCAATAGAACGACCATTATGATTGTTATTGTTATTCAGCCATGCAATCAACCCACCTAAGAATTTTAACAGCTTTTTTCAAACCTTAGGAATTTATAACTAATAGTATGCAGTTAAAGCTAACTTTATTAGTATTTGTTTTGAACTAGTATAAAAGATCCAGCCATTGTTCTTCATGCTCACATGGGTGCAAACAAGGCCTGAAATCTGTATATTTCATCATCTGGTATTTCTGACCAGGATTACAAATTGTCATTGAAAACAGTTAAATTAAATCTGAAAAGAGTTTCCCTAGAGAATATGCAATAATTTGGAGTCCAAGAAGTAGTGAGAAGAAAAGCAATTCGAAATAAATCCATGTATTTAAAATATTTATTTCATGAAAAATGTTAGCCTTACATTTGCAGTATCATATTAAAAGAATATAAATGTCAATTTATTTGCAAACCAGAAGTTGTCTGGGATTTAGATCACAAGTTAATGTCATGTTCTTTCAGCAATCTGAGGCATAAGAATTGGGAAACAGTGATGAATTATACAATTATATTGTATTTGTTTAATTTAGTAAAGTTGACAGATAACTGTTTACCTCTGAAATTGGTTTCTGAGAAATGAAAAGAACACAGGGAACACATAGAAAACTCAAATTAGTTTTGGTTAAGAGCTCTTCCAAAGGCAGGATATTTCTAAGCAGAAAGCCACTCCTATCCTGCATCTTATCTGAGAACCACAACTTGCAGTATCTGAAGTAACATGATTTGGAAACAATAGATCTCAGACTTTTTTGATATTAAAGTCTTCTTAAGAGATCCCCAATGTCCTCTGGACCAATGCCTCCATTTATAAGAAAACATTGTTGAACTTTTCAGCTGATTGTCACATCAGATCTTATAAGGTTGAAGAGCAGGCATTTGGAAAAGATCTGGAAATTATGGTTCTCTCTCCAGTTCATGTTCCCAAGGTGCTTCCCCTACCCATAAGCCACTGTGTAGGGACACTGTTTCTGGGCTAGTGCTGACCCTGAGTGCTTTCCTGTGACTCTCCAGGACTCCTGACCATGTGCTCTCAACCATGGTCCACTTCACCAATCTAGGCTGAAAGCACATTTGACTCTCATTTTCCATCCCATTCATTTTCTCTACTACCAAAAAGGCTATATAGATGAAGGCATTAAGTAATTTTTCAACCATCTAACGTTAATCTGATGCCTGACCTAGAAGAAAGCATACTCACAAATATGTCTTGTGAGTTGAGACTCACAAGCAGTCTCAACTTTTTTCACCTTTCTCACAGAGGTAAATTCCACTCTCATCTAATCATTGAGAAAATATATTTCCAATACCCCCAGGGTGCAAACTCATTATATATAATCCCATTTAGCATGGCCTTAAGGAATGTAAGTTGGCCCAATACCTCCTCTGAAGTCTCTATGGCTGTCTCACCATCCTGCTTCAGACTGGTACTGTAATAGCAACACCCAGCAGTTTCCTAACTGTTAGCTCTAGGATTTCTCTGCACTCCCAAGAGCCTGCCATACCCAAGACACTACCCAAACACTGGATGGTAACATGGAACTGGTCTTTGGAAGTGGAAAAGTTAGGACTGCCAGGTAAATTGCTGTGTACACTAAACTTCAAGGAAAAAGGATTCCCTCAAGAAAACCAGAGAAGCTTAGGAAAATTGTAACTGGATGGTTGATTTAGAAACTATCTTCTTTGCCTTTCCTGTATTGTTTCCTAATTGCATTAAAGTTCCTTTTCATTAAAGGAACATCAGTTCTTTACTCTTCCTCTCATATGTTTTTGTGTTGATGTGGTAGATGGCAGAATCTATTTAGAGCAGGCAAGTTTGTGGGTCTGGGATGCCCCTCTCCATGCCCTGTAACAAAATCACTATATTGTTCCCCACCCCTTTTTTAAGTTAAAATGTTTTTCAGGGAATTTTATTTACACAGAGTAATTGCAATTAAAATTGCTGGGAATTCAAAACTCAATGCATGTTTAGTCATTGATGTGATCTGGTCACTGAATTAAAGCTCATTGTCATATCCTAAAGCTGTATTTTCTAGTAGGCAGAGAGCTCAATCCTTCAGACTCTGCCATTTCAGTCTTGGCTGGGCTCCATTTTAATTTCTGACCACACTCGTCTTTTGACTTAAAAATATATCAATTAGAAATAAATCTCTAGTATTTCAGACCTGAGGTCTTTTCCTTTGGTCAAAGAAGATAATCTTGAAGTAATTTCCAAGAAATCCTTTCTAACAACACCCATAACCTGTGCCAAAGTGATCTGGCTCATTAGGAAAATTTTCTGATAAACATCCCCAACATCTGGATATTTGAGCACTGAGGTTAATGACTTTCATAACCTTTTTGTTGTCATTACCTTAATGGTTCTGAAAACCTGAAACGTGTTTAAGATCTAGAAGAGCCAAGTACTTTGAGTGGAAATTCAGTAAATACACAAAGGAAAAACACACCAGGTTCCTGGAATAGCATAACAAGTTGGTTTTTTGTTGTTGTTTTTTTCCCCCGACACAGGTTTTATGCCAGTTTAGCTATTTGGTGCTATTGTTGTAGAAATAAATTCTAGCCTTTTACCCAGGCAGAGGGAAAGCAAGCGGTACTTCAGGAATGGTGAGGTTGTTATAGAGCAACCCCGATATTAAACGGGTTCCTGGCTGTGGGTCCTCACCCGCGCGCTTTAAAGGGACTTATGAATACTCTACTACAGACACACGCAAAAGGGTTAATAAAAGGTTTATTTACAAGAGAAAAAGAAATAAGGAAAATGTACAACTCAGGGAGAAAATAGGGAAATAAAGTCTTTAATGCGTCCTACCCGATCCGACGACCTGGAAACCCCAAAGTCACTCTCAGAGCTAGACGGACGCCGCGAGCTGGCCGAGGGCCCCAAAATGGAGAGAGCCCCCAAAGCCCACGTGTCTGCCTTTTGTATCCACCTGGCTGCTTAACCCCACCCTCAGGTCCCAGCCACCTTCCCTTTGGTGGTGATGGGATTTGGAGTTCCCAGTGTCTTTGGCTTTGACCTGGGGTGGGGGTGGAGTCCACAAAGCCTGTATGGAATTTGCTTTGGGACTGCCTTTTCCCCCTAACAAGGTCAGGAGAAGCTTTATTACTCATGCATGAGGTCCCAGACCTGGATAGCCCCGTAAGGTCTGAGCACCCGTTTAAAAACCAAGGGGTCCTGTTATACACAACTGTCTCCGTATCTGTTACATTTATAACATCGTTTTTTCAGCAGGCACAACCATTTGCAGCAAAGTCCCCAGACAAGGGGAGCAAAGCAAGGGGGGAAAAATGCAGGCATTCGGGCATGGCCTTGGAGAGGGAGACCAGCTTGGCAGGCTGCCCGACCTTGTAGATAAGAGTGCTGAGGCCCTGGCCATGAATCTTGAAAGGGAAGGAACTGTAAGTAAGCAAACTTGTTGATTATGCCTGCATTGGAATGTTCATTGCACCTAGCCCAGGCAGTTCTGTTGGAATCTTTATTATTTTCATTTGCTCATTAATATATTTTCTCATCACTATGAATGTACTGCTCCCTGGAATCCTTGATTCTTCAGCAATCTCCTGCTCATCCTCTACCCCTCTCTGCAAGTTCTCACCTCCCCAGGGACTCTCAGACACTGGGGCAAAGTTTGCCATCAGACTCAGATTTTTTTCACATTCAAACTTAGCTATATTAGTCTACACTAGTTAGTACATATATTTCCCTCCCAAATTAAGATCTCTCCTGAGACAATTGAGAAGCCGTGAGATGTACAAGATTAATTGACAGTAATTTTGCACTACTAGAAATTCTTTGGTAGCTAGAAGAACAGTAAATTTGTTTCTGGCAGCAGCGGATTCTCTTCCCTGATCTGTAGCTCTCCCTCCTCTAGGTTCTTCGAGCCTTAAAGAGATTTCTGGCAATCTACTCTTTGCCTGGATTTAGTGACATCTCTCATTAAATATTAAAACAAATACTCAGAAAGCACTGAAATGTTGTAAGAGTAGTCATAGTAACAGCAATGTTTTGGGGCTAGTTCTCACAGTAGAGCATCCCCTCTTCGGCTGTGGTCTCCACCACAAGCCATGTTCCCCACTGTCCCCCAAGGACTGGTTCCTCAGCACCTCACCCTTATTCAGAAGTGAACGGGGCATCACTAACAGGTGATTTTAAGAGGCTCACCTGCCTTCTTTAGCATCCCTTAGCTGCTTAACAGCTCAGGGCTTCCTGAGCTTGACTCCAGCTTTTTGCCTCATCTAAATCAGCTTTTTGATACTTCTCCTGCCTGGCTGCAGAAACTTCCTCAGCAGGAAGGCGAGGGCTTCCTCCATCAGCGGCCCTGAGCTACTCTCATGCCTGCCCCTTCCTCTACTCTGGCCACTGCCTCTTGGGGCTGTGGCCCTGGAAGGGCCGGGCAGCACATTGGGGGCTTTATGCCACCCAGGCCCACCAGCTACCCCTTGATTCTCACCTCCTGGGGTGTATAAACAATCCCAACCATCCGAGGTCTCACAGTCATCATCAACCTGCCAAAGTTCCCCCACCTTTTGGCAACATCAGTTCTTTGCTCTTCCTGACGAGCCTGCTGCCTTGGGGTAGTGGGCTGGTCCTCTCAGGCCATCTCCTGCTCCACACAAGGTCTCATCCCACAGCTCCCGGACTTTGTTCACCTCCTGTGCTGTGCCGCTTCCCTAGCTCCTCTCACAGCTCCCAGACTCCTGTCACCACCTGTGCCACCATGGCGCCTCCAGTGTTGTCTTTGACTCCATTTGCAGGGCTGTGAGGGGACACTCATCCCCCAACCCTGCCTCTGAGCAGGCACCATATATCCATCCAATGCCTCTCCCACTGTGTGCAGAGTCCTCTCCACCTGGACCAGGGTCTTGGGAGGCACACACAGAGAGGAAGCCAGTCAATGAGCACTGCAGGCTCATAGACCGCCACCCCTCTGTCCATCCCGAGGCCCTCGGAGGGTTCCATACCCATCTGCATTTAATCCTGCCGACCTATGCCAAATGTTATGCCAGCAAGGCATGGGGCAGAGCAGGTCCTGGAGACCTTAGTGGCTTTTTCAGCCTTTTAATGATCTTTCTTCACCATTTGTAGTGAGGCAAACTGGTGCTGGGAGGCTAGCTGGTCTCCCAGCCCGGGCAAATCCTTACCCTCTCTGGATTCTCCGCTGCTCCCCACCCACCAGGTCCTCTGCCACACTCCTCCCTCTCTGACACTGCCATTGTATGCTCAGTCTTTCAGCTCAAGCTCCCAAGTGCCTTCTGCATTCAAGGCCACAGGTGATAGCCACAGAGAACAAAGGCCTGAGCATTCTTCATTTATCCTGCAGGCACCCAGTAGCCACACCCAAATGCCTAACAGCAGAAACTGAGATAGCAAGTGTTTATTGTTTTAAGCCAGCCTGATTGGGGTTGAGCAAGTGTTTGTTGTTTTAGGCCAGCCTTTATTGGGGTTGTTTGAGCTGTAGGAATAGACTGTTAAAAGTGCTGCATCCTGCCCTCAGCTGGGGCCTGTGGGCGTAAGCTCCCATCCTGTCACTCCATCTGAAGCCAGTCACCAGTGGGCCACCTCGGCAGGCTTGTGTCACCAACTGCTTTTGGCCTGATGGGAAGAACTCACCCGGTAGACAGGGCTACCTGTCTTGCTGAAATTGTGGAATGCCTGGCTAATTTTGTCTCATTCCTTGAAAATGAATACATTTAGTCTGTGAGAAAGAAGGAGCTGAAAGGAAGTGCTCAGTGAGAGGTCCTGAGCAAGGCTTGGTCATAGCTACCCAGGGACCTGGGAAGGAAAAGTATCTGGTTTTATGGCTTCGTGGTTGGCCCTCATTAAGCTCTTTGTAGACATTGCTCTGATACTCAGGGTGACCCCCCCCCCAACATGGATATTGTTATTCCTGCCTTACAAGTGACTGAACAGAAGTCCAGAGAGGGTAAATGATTTGCCTAATGTCACCCTCATTCAAAATGGAGACAAATTCTTCCCAATTCCTCCTTGACTCCGTGTTTCTTTAGGAACCAGTGAACTCCAAGTGGTGACCCTTACATGGCTATGCCCGGTATCACCCCCTCCAAGCAACATTTTTTCCTAGCTAGCTTAGTGATTTAGATCCTCAACCCCATCTAGTCCTCTGCCAGGGAGTCTGTGGTCCCCTGCAGGCTCAGCTCTGATGCTGAGAAGGAGCCTATGACTTGTCCCAGACCAACTCATTTTCCAAGTGACCAAATTGGATTTGAGTCCAGCTATGGCTGACTCCAGAACCTGTATCCCATTGGCTGGTTCTGCTTGCTCTAGAGAAACTGCCATAATCTTGCTCAGGTCTGCACAATTGAGCAATGTACAAACATGTAGCACTTTACACAGTTCTTGCCCAGGAATATGGGAAAAGGAGACCTCCAAGCACACCCAGGTTAACTTTTGTGCATGCCCTATTCCCAACCTTACCTGATCATTTACTGATTGCAGCAGCTTTTCTCAATGCTTCATTATCCTAAGGAGAGGACCCAATGCCAGGTTCCCAAATAGGACTTGAGTCTTTTCCAGGTCAAAAATGCTGCTGGTTCAGATCTCATCTGAGCTCCGGGCTCTGCCGTCTGGTTGCAAGGAAGCAAACAGCCTGCAGTTCTGCAGTCTGCTTTACATTTTTGTCTGTTTCTCCTGTTGACCTAAGCAATTGTGTTGAATCTTTTGGCTTGATCCTCTTAATCTCTACTTACTAATATTGATACCTCCCCTCCCTCTATTAGAATAAATCCCCTTCCAATCAACATTGCCTACCTTCTTTTTTAAAAAAAGATGTATTTATTTATGCATACAAGAACTGGGGTACAGGCCAGAGGTACAGAGGGGTGGGAGGATTCACCAGAGACAGAGTGGGAAGTGGAACAGGCGGATTGACTGAAATACACTGCTGACGGGAGCAGCGGGCGAGACAGGAGAGGGCTGCTGCACCATGTGAGTTAGCTCCCTGTCTGGGGATCGAACTGGTGCTATATTGGCTGCTGATAGCTTCATAATGCTGAGACTTAACCCCTTGTGCCAACAGGGAGGCCCCCCATTGCCTATCTACTAATTGATATTGCCGACCATTGATGGCAAGTATTTGTCTTTTCGTTCAGTTACATGCTAGTCTTAGATACTTGATAATTGTAACAATAATTATCATTTATTACACTCTTAATAAACTACATGTGATAAGAGCTTAGATTATTTCTTTTTTTCTCATACCTCTTTTATTTTTTTAAATTTTTAAATTTTATATATTTTTTACATCATTTTTCAATTTTATACAATGTATGCATTTTCATCTTGGTTATAGTCCCCATACAATTCCCACCACCCTTGTTTTGATCCTACTCGCTTCTCTACTTCTCTACCCACCATGGCCCTTAAGAACAAGTATTCGTGTTAACTACTCTTTATAAATGAGGTCTCCAAAATTGATTAGGCTATGTAAGCTGTCCAAGGTTACAAGGACCTCCCCTTGTGTTAACTAAATGGCTCAGCAGGCTCTGTTTGACCTGGCTCTGCCAACTCCCACAAATTGGCTTCTCTATCTCTTCTAGGGCTGAATTTTAGTACAAAAGGTCAACAGATGCAGGTCAGGCTAGGGGAAGTCTCAATTTGTGTAACAAAGAGCTCATTTTTTAGATGAGCAGAGGCTCAGAAAATTGATAGACTCACAGGCTAAATTCCAAAACAGCAAATGATATCACAGGCCCTGCTTGGCCAGTCTAAACATGCCCAGAGACCACAGCAGGGGCCTCAGCTGCACATGCATGGGCCCAGAAAATTCAGCAGAAGATGCAGCCAGGAAGGGGCACAGAGGACCCTGAATCAGGGTGTGGGAAGCCACTCTAACAAGATCAAGTGCTAGAGGAAAGGACTGACATGATGCCACTTCCAGAATGGGGAGGACTGTCATGAGCAAAGCACAGAACAGGGCTCTGTTGACCTAGACCAGGACC